CCCTGAGCTATATGCCCTTGTAAATATGTCAATGAAGATGAGGATAACAGTCAAAATAATGTAAATAATGCAAGTAATCATAATACCTCATCTCAGATGTCCAATCACCTGAAGAATACCGGAGCGTACAACGGCCGAAACGTTGTGAATATGGCAGTGAAGATAAGGATAAAAATCCGAATAATGTAAATAATGCAAGCAATCATAATACCTCATCTCAGATGTCCAGTTACCTGAAGAAGGCCGGAGCGTTCAACGGCCGAAACGTTGTGAGTATGGCAATGAATGTGAGGATAACAGTCAGAATAATGTAAATATTGCAAATAATCATAATACCTCATCTCAGGGATTCAATTACTTGGAAAAGGCCGGAGCGTACAACGGCCTAAACGTTGTGAATATGGCAAGGAAGCCTACCAAAATTGTCATCCTGCACGAACAGAGTGGCAAGCCTTACCAGTGAGCAGATCAAAGTACCGCAGTATGGCCCGGAAACTCTCCTGATTTAAATCCAATCGAGAATCTGTGGTCAATCTGCAAGGAACGACTCCGTGGGATGGACATAGGAAGTACTAACATGTGCACTGGGCCATGTTTCATCGGAAAAATACGAACAAAAGTAAATAATAACAGAATTATTCGTATTGTTTCATTTAATTTTCATAAGGTTGTAGTGATCATGACCCTCCACATCTTCCTGTATAATTAATTTGTACAAGGGTGTAATGAGACTATGTAAAGCAGCATGTCTGAATATTTAAAAAAGAACCAAGAACCGCCAACTTCATTAACTATAAACTAAACCGAGAAAAGACCCGTACAGCAAAAATCGAAAAGAAATGTTGGCAAAATATGTCAGCAATCTAAACTCGGCTACAAAACCAAAAACAGTTTGGGAAAAGACGAGAAAAATCGCTGGCAACCATCCACGTATACAACCACTTATATTCCAAGATGAATTAGAAAAAAAAATCAAAAGGAATTATATCCCACGCATTCTTCTCAGACCAAAATACAAAAACGTAACAGGATGGGCAGCAATGTATAACAAGAAAATAAGTATATGTTATTTGAAAATTTAAAAAAGAACAAAGGCCTCTTGTTTTTGTTTTTTTTTTTAATTTTCAAAATTGTTACTTTACGCAGTCTAATTACTTCTGTACATCCAACATCTATCAATATCTGTTCCTCATGCTTAGTATCAGGTTTGGGGTGATACATTCTTTTGTTATGGCTATCGGGGTTTCCAAGAAATGTTTTGCGGTTTTTATATTATTTTAAGTGTTTTCGTTTTGAACTTTTCCCAATCCGAATCATTCCCAGACTGTCTTGCCTAACGTTTCATCTAGGTAGGTGCATATCGATTACTTCATTGCCCCTAAGAATCATGGAGACATGGTCACTTCCGCTTGTATCATCATAATCACCCCAGGTACTATTTATGTTAATTGCTTCCAGTTGAATCGATGCTTGGCGCTGCTCTCTGCTTGAGTATTATCCATAATGATTGCTTTCGTAAGTTTCACTTTTTTGTTTCTCTCCTTAGGATCCCAGATGATATTGTGGCTATTAAAATCTCATAGGAGAATGAACGGACGCGTAATTGCTTTATCAGATCTTCCTGTTTGTCTTGTTCTACATGGTTATGCAATGAGATAGACACCGATCCTATACTGACTGGTCTGTGCAAAGTTACTCTCACAGCAGCTGCCTGTAGTTTTCATTTTAGCTTAGTTTTGCTCTGAGGTACGTCATTTATTTTATCAAAACGGTTACACCTTCAGAGACCCTGAGTACAGAGCGGTGATTTGGTTTGGTTTCGATATTATGTCTATGATAATTGGCTTTTATAGTTTAACATAGTTGTTGTTTAAATGGAATTTGATTTGCTTGTCGACTATATAATTAGGACGCCCATTATAGATATCTGTTTGTTCTATATTATTTACTTCTTTCAGAAAAATTATTTTCGATGAGGAAAACAAGTTTGGATGTTTGAAATTCATTCAAAGATGATAGTCTGGGATAAAATGAACCGTGCAGTGCCAAACTTTTGCAGATGTTTTCATTGACCATTCTACAGACATCAGCTTTATTCAGAATCCTTGGTTTGGTTTGGTTTGGTTTGCGTCATATCAATCTCAATGGGTTATTTAATGCCGAGAAGATTTTTATTGTTGGTACAATTTTTTTTTTTTTTAAATGAATTGCTGGTAATTTTTGTTCCAAAAATGTATTGCTGGTAATAATGTATTGCTGGTAGTAACTTTTTTTTCCTTTTTGGTGAGTGTCTGAAGTGTTTATTTTTATTGTTTGATCATGCTTTTTTTTCGGAGTGGGGGTCTTTTCCATAGATCTTCATTTTAAGATTTGGTGGACAATTTGGTAATCTTTATGACTTTTGTCTACTGGGGTTTCCTTTAGATGGAGATTTTTTTTGTTTTGTGTAGGAAATATGTGCCTCCAAAATTTATTTACCCTTTCTGTTTGGCACCTTTCAAGCGTCCATGTTCTTTTACGAAGTTCTTGAAACTTTGACCAGATATAAGGTCCTGGCTGCACCAGATGCTCTAAGTGTGTTCTATATTTGTCTAGTTTGCTATTATTACTGCTATATAGATTCGCCTTCTGGACAACACAGGCCAACGTATGGCCTTTCATATACGAATCCATTATTTTTCTGCCATCTTTTTTATAAATCATGTCCATGATTTCTGTTGTAACCTAGGAAGGGTTACTGAATAAGAAATAACGAAAACGGGGGTTAGTAATCTTTACAACAAAATACAATACTCGCCAGCAAACCTAATTTTTATTTCTTTTTAGATTTATTTTTTTTAATCGGAATCAAAGCAAGTCAGTTAATTGCCATGCGAGATACACGCTTAAGCGTTAATGTATCATCGATATATGACTGACGAGGCAGATTTATTTTTCCCGTAGTAGGTTGCCATTTATTTCTGTGGTAGACCAATTGCCATCCAAGGCTATAGAACCCGGTCTGTCCTATTATTTACCCATAGCCAGGAGGGGAGAAGAAGAGGATTCACAACTTTCCCAAGGTTATTATCATGTAAGTGAATGTAATGAATTCGACTGGAATTCGAACTCGGATCGATTTCTCAATCCGAGCCGCTATCCATTACTCTACCGTGCCTCTCCAGGCCAGAAGAGTTGGATTCACCTTTCCCAAGAGTTTTAGGACGTAAGTAAATGTAATGGATTCGATCGGAATTCGAACTCGGCTCTCCGATTCCTCAATCCAAGCCGCTATCCATTACTCCACCGTGCCACTAAATCACAAAGAGTTACAGGGTGTAGGAGAATTCGGAACAGAAACATTATTAATGAGGGGAAGGATAAGAGAACAGTTAGGAGGGCATAGCGATTGACATTGCATTTAAATTTTGTCAGATTAAAGTTGTTTGGAAAACCTGAAGCCGGACATGAGTTCCACCACCGAGAATTGCAAGAGAAGTAACTATTAACGTGGAACTTAGGGTTATATCTAGCCTGCTCAACTGTAAATTGATGAGATCTCGACGCCAGTCTAGTGCTGCGCTTAAATTCAAAAACTCTAGGTACCCTAGAGTATTTGTATTTTGTATTTCAGATACTCTAGGTACCCGTCCGAATAATTACCATGAAAGTATTTATAGAAAATACATAGAGAGACAATCTTACGGTGGTTGGAAAGTGATTGGAGCTGAGCCGCCAGACCAAGACAAAAAATATTGCAGATTCTTCATTGGATCAAGAAGGTCAAGGCAAATAGCAATGGCATTGGACCATATGCGACAGCAGTATTCTAAGAATGGTCTAATGGTAGACTTACACCCTTGTATTTTCCTATCTTTCACCATACGGACGGTTTTAGATTCACTTGAGTGACAGGGTGTAATCGATTTTTATTTTTTCATTCCGATTAGGTCATTTGCAGTGGTGTGCAGTAATTTGAATCTGTTTTCGGAGTGTATAATGAAAATTGTTTCGTCTTGAAAAATATTGCGTCATTCGTGATTGCATCAGATTTTCATCACGCCCAGACACTATTGTCAGGACTGTCGATTAGTTGTCCTATGGGTATTGTCTGCGATGGACGTTACTCCCAGAAGCATACGAAACTTAGAACGATTCACGAACACAATGGCAAGTCTTACCAGTGAGAAAATCAATGTACTATCGACTGGCTTGGGAACTCTCCTGATTTAAATCCAATCGTGAATCTGTGGTTAATCTGCAAGAAAAGTTTTCGTGAAATGGACATACGAAATAATGATAATAAAGGAATTATTCGTTTTGTATCAATTTTTACAAGAGTGTATACAATATTTAAGATAGATTCTGGAAATAAAATTTCTCTCGCCCTTACATAGTGTACTGACTTTATTGAATATTAAAATATATGCATGTGTTTTTATTCTTATCTTTCTATAATTTGTAGCCCCTTGCTTTACTGAGGCTGCATTTGTTTCTTCTGGTGTAGCGAGATACAACTCTCTATTTTTTTACAACTGTTTTTGAGGTGTGAATTATTTTATGTGAATAAGACACGACGCTTTAAATTGTTGAATCTCTTCATTTTGTGTATATTACGCCCATGTTGTTTTATTCCACAAGTATTTTGCCGTTTCCCCCTTTTCAGCACTGTGCCTGTATTTGTCCTGTTAATAATGACTTTTTCGATCTTGAATGATGACTGATTGGCCAAAGGATTTTCCTCTAGTGATTCGATCTTGAATAAATCACAGAAATTTCGTCCCAACTTCTATTCCTGAATAACCAAAGAGATTTCGTTTTTTATTATTATTAATATTTGCCATTTATTTGTTTTTTCATTGGTGCTCTGCTCCAACAGCCACCCTATTTTTTTTTCATTATTTTTTTTTTTCATTTATATCTTTACTTTTAGATTTGATTTTAATTCTCTTCTTTCTTTTTTTCTGGCGATTATTTAGCTGTATGCTTCTATTGTTTTTTTCTTTCATTTTTGTCTTAAGATTTCTGCCTTTCTTTCTTTCTATCTTTTTTCTTTCTTTCTTTCTTTCTTTCTTGCGGTTATTTGGATGTCTGTATCTCTCGGTTTTCTTTCTTTCTTTCTTTCTTTCTTTCTTTCTTTCTTTCTTTACATCGTGCTTTTTTAATCTTTCTTTCTTTCTTTCTTTCCTTCTTTCTTTCTTGCGCTTATTTGGATGTCTGTATCTCTCGGTTTTCTTTCTTTCTTTGTGTCTTTCTTTCTTTCTTTCTTTCTTTACACCGTGCTTTTTTAATCTTTCTTTCTTTCTTTCTTTCCTTCTTTCTTTCTTGCGCTTATTTGGATGTCTGTATCTCTCGGTTTTCTTTCTTTCTTTGTGTCTTTCTTTCTTTCTGTCTTTCTTTCATCCTTTCTTTTTTCTGTTTCTTTTTTCTTTCTTTCTTTCTTTCTTGCGCTTATTTGGATGTGTGTATCTCTCGGTTTTCTGTCTTTCTTTCTTTCTTTTTTTCTTTCTTTCTTTCTTGCCCTTATTTGGATGTCTGTATCTCTCGTTTTTTTTTTCTTTATTTTGTATCTTAGTTTGTCTTTCTCTCTTTCTTTCTTTCTTTGCGACCCACAAGAAAACAAGTGGCCTCTTTACGGGACGTCTTACCCAACTGCAGAGCTGCACTCAGCGTATAATACAATTCCAGCCGACAGCGCATTAATTCCTGCTTTTCTCTTGGTACATTGACTTCTGCTTCTTTCTTTTTTTCTTTCTTTTTTATTTAACAGTTTGCGGGGTTCTTTTTTTTTTTTCTT